GTAACTGGCGTACAGCATTCAAGACGAGGAAGTGCTTGCCTTCATGGGGTTTATTTTCTGATAATTTGCCCCACACTGAAGTGCACACAGTCAAGATTAACATGACTGGTTTTATCCATTGCCTAAACTTTCCCAGAAAAACCAAATGAAATCTGTTTAGCTGCAGATTGGAGCTGCCGGGAGCCAGATGTGGCCATGGGAAGAATCTCTTTGAGAGCTTGTCATCTGGCTCCAGCTGTGTTAACCTAGGTCTGGTAGGCAGCCATGAGTTGTGTCTGCCAACTGGTGGCCAGACACTAGAGCAGGCTTAAACAATTAGCGGAATCCCTTGCCCCGTGGCTAGATCCGCCGTGTGTGTCCTAAACTTACCACTGCTGTCCGGACCAGGGGCGTCTGTGGTCTGGGGCAGAAACACCCAGAAGGGAATCAAAAATCAGCTCCTTGAGAAACTAGGCATGGCTTTCTGATCCTGGAGCATGGAGAGGGATGCAGGGGAGGTACAAAACCAATGTCAGCAAAAAAACCAGAAGTAAACCAGACGTGGCCCCCCACATGCACGTCTTGATTGTAACCAAGAGTGCTTGCCTGATACGGACCACCTGCCTCTAACATGCCCCTGAAGAAAAAGCAGAGAGTTGGCCTACAAGAACCTCTTCCCCAGTTACTATTTTTTGATTGTTGCCCCTTTGTGAGACCCATTTATGATGACCTATGTTGATTTTACGCAGAGAGATCCATTAAAAGTCTTAATTCCCACCTTTGAGAGCAGTGGGACACCTACAGATGTGCCATAACTTTTCAAATATCTGCCTTCCCAATTAGTACATAAATAAGCAAAATGCTTCAGCCTACTTGTGTGTGGAAGATTTATATGAATACCGAAGTTTCTGGTTTAATGTACTAGGCAGGTTCTGCTCTTCTCTGGGAAAACATGATTTCCATCATCCGTTGTCCAGCAAGCTTCTGACACCACAGTAGTTGCTCAGTTAATGTTTGCAGAATGAGCCAAATGAGGATGATTTCTAGTCAGCATGCTGACTTTCAAGGGTGGTGATAAAAAAAGAGTGAAGTTCTTTCAAATAATAAGTAGGGGAAGCAACCCACAATTTTGAGCAAAATGAACCAAAAAAGTAAAGGTTTAATTGGAATAATTTCAGAATTCCTCTTTCAGATGTCCACATCTCGTGTCTGATTATAACAGAAAACACAAGAGGGTAGAGATTAAAGTTTTCAGGGGGGCTTCTCCTGAGGTGAAGCATATCTATACCTGTGGGGACATCTTTATCACATCTTTATCATGGTTGAAGTGGGGGAAAATTTTAAGATACTAGTTTATGTGTAAAAATCAACTTTTGCATTCTCAGTGCATTGTGTAAATTTGCTGTGCAGGAGACATAAGTGAAGCCATTTGGTTTTGTGGCATTGGTGTGGGCTGGCTAAGGGGGTGGGGGATAAAGTTGAGGCATTGATACAGTATGAGGAGAGCCAGATGGTTGTATTACACATCTTTTGTGCTCTTGTTTGCTTCTTAAAGCAGTTGCCGAATTTTGCCCTTGGCGATATTTTCTTCATGCTTGTATGTTCTGCTATGAATTTACTTTTTTGTCAGAGTACTTTGAAAGAAAAGCCTTGCTCTTAAAAAAATTTTTTTTTAACTTACGTTATAAACTTGTGAAGTCAACAGTGTGTTCATAAAAATATTTTTAAAATGGTAAGTGTGTTAGTAAACAGTGGGAGGAGCAGCTTTTCTTTTTTCTTTAGCACACTGATTTCAATGACATGTCAATTCAGAGAAAGATTTTTGCAAAATTATAAATGTAGAATTAACGATGAATGGATGGATGGATACGGAATAGATACGTTGCTTTTCCAGTAGTAATGAGTCTTAGCTGATTAGAAATTTTAACTTTTTCTGTTACTTACAGCAGCTTCTCAGGTTGCGGTTTACCTATTGTGTTTTATCAGCAAGTGTGACTTTAAGTGAAGTGAGAATGCTTTGGGATAGGTCCGTGGCTTTCGCCTGGGTGTTTGGTTGGCATTCAATACAACTGTTTATCACACCACCATTGAAATTTATATTTATTTACTACTAAAAGCAAATTATATTTTGCGATCACCGGTGGCAAGGGATAGTTAAGATGTTCTAACTGCATGTAAGAGATGGTATTTTATCACTGAATGCTTTTAATAAGGAATTGCTTTGGAGTTTTTTTTTCCTCCCCCGTTGTGATAGAATGGTTCAGAATAATTTAATGCCCTTTTCGCAGTCCCAGTTCATCTCTTTCTTTCTTCGTTCAAACGAGAGAAGACCACAAACATAAGATCCTTGGGTGCTGGTTTATTCTCTGTTGTGCACAGATTTCCAGTTTTAGTTGGAACCTGCAGTCCCTGATGAGAAAACAGGAAACTTACAGTCCTAACCTTATTGAAATCTCTGCCCGCTTTAGTCACAAGTCTGAAGCAACTCTTTCCAATAATGAAGCCATTGTACGCATCATATCTGATCAGTTCTTGAAATGTTTTAGTAAGTCTATCTTACAACATTATAAGAAGATAATCAGCAGCCTTAGAAGGTCCCCATCTGGACTGTAGAGTTCTTTTACTGAAAGATGTTTTGCCTTTTTGAGATAGCTCTCGCGTTTCATCATCTGTTCCGCTGAGATGAAGTGCATATGAAAAGTCAGTGACTCTGAATCCATCTGTTGTTATTATTTTCCACTGATAATTGGCTTGAACAATGAAATGTCTGTGTCTGCAGCCTTTGAAACTGTACGCCCTGTTTATTTTCTGGAGGTCTCGCTGCAACTCCCCCCGCCCCCATTTTTTCCCTCCTTCATTCTCTCTCAAGCTTACAGCCAGTGGCGCTTGCGTGAGGATGACATCTTTGACTCTGTGCATCAGTATGTGTCACTCAGCATCTAAAGCTTGCATACGGATTTTTGTCACAATCCCTGTGTCTGTGCCGTTCACTCCAGGATCCAGCCCTCTTGCCACAAGAAGCTTAGCTGGGCCACAATGCATGGATCCCTTACCTGGCTTGTCGTCTTTATTTCACTTTCCTCATTAAAATATTAATTTCGAGTATAGTATCTAATACCTATGGAATTAGATACTACCTCTAATTGTATAATATATTCAGTTGCATCCAGGTTTGCACGATACAGAGCATTAATATTGGATTCCACTAACAGCACTTCCATTAGCTTGCTCAACCAGTATGAGATATAGATGAGCTAGGAAGCATAACTACCCGCCAGAACTGCCAAAACAGTCATTAGAAGCTCCATTGGGATGGACAAAGGCTTTTTCACAGTGATATACTGATTAAATTTTGTTCTATGGTTTATTTGCATCAAGGTTAGATCACTATCGCCTGTGGAAGGAGGTTATCTAACACCTTATTTGGAAGGTCATTTCAAGAGGAAATAGTGAATAGAATAGGCATCTTTAGTTTCTCTGGGAACCCCTCTTAGGGAGAACCTGTGTTTTATTCTTTGGAGGGGGTTTTGGGAATCTTTAAAACTATTTTGTTTCTCTTTTCTCCAAGTTATGCCATAATGTATGTTTGAGATGGTTTTTTTCTGCTTGTTAGTAATTTTTTTTAAAAAAAATTTCAGGATTATTCATTTGCTTTTGCAGTAGAATGATACAGCCAGAGAGCAGTGTTGTGTTAATAAAATAGAACTTGCTTTTGAAATAGAAAGCTGCCTTATTTCCCTTGGCTAGCATAATTGCACTACATTCTCTGAGGCTGTGAAGGATCTGTGACCTACCCTTTTTGGTCCAAGTAATAATGTAGACACATCCTATAGAATAGCAGTGCTGGATTTGCCCCCATAGTACTACGTGGCATTAGAAGGAAGTAGATGAACATAATCTTATTTATGTTTCAATCGAAATCATTTAATACTGCAAAAGTTATTAAAAAATAATTAAGTTACTAAGACCAACATGTAGCTGGAACATACAGTAAGAGGGTAGAGGTGAGTGTGTTGACTCCCTAGGCTGAGGAAAGGCAGTAGTGAATTCTTAGCGCCTGCGTGTTTTTCCTTTTGCTTAAATTCCTCGGTTCTAAGGACAAATTATGTTGAGGTATGGCATATTTTCTGCCGAAAGGGAGGAAATTGTTGACTGTAATTATGTTATTTAATTGAAATTATAAGTGGTTGAGGCCACTCAGTTAAAAGCGTCCTTTCTAATATATGGGTAATGTTTTTAAATGAGTGGTCATGGATTGATGACATTTGAAAGGCAGGCATTTGGGATGTATTTTTGGAAGACTCAAATTATGTTCCTTAAATCATTAGTGAACTAAAGAGCATAAAGTGGCATGGGTTTTTTTGTTTGTTTATCTCCTTTAATTAAATACGTGTCAGCGTTACATGCGTGGCCTATATATGCACATGTATATGCATGTACACGTATGTGTACGGAAGTGTGTCTATATTTTATATGTGTAAATTTTTGTACATATATAAAATAGACCTTTCAAAGGTACAGGTCACAAGGACCGGTTTATAGTGTGGCAAAGCACAAAAACAAAAGGTATATTGTTGGTGAAAAAAGTGATTGTTGATAACTCTCATTGAATGTTAGAGATTTCAAGGCAAGCTAAGGTAAAACTCCAGTGATGTGTCTTATGCCAACTTCTTTTCGGAGTAGCTGGAGATAAAACAATAGCACTATATCCTTTCCCCCGTTACCCACCGCCCCCCCCCACTCCAGGAGTGAGTTCTTAATTACTAATGAATGCAATTCATTTTAATTGTTATTATAGCAACATCACATTTAACTGTCTCCTGTTTAGTCCTTGTGCCCTGGAACCGGTGGTGTCTCTCGTCAGAGAGAGGACAGGTAGAAGGCACAGCAGGCGTCTGATTGAGCCAGTTATTCATTTGCTGAGTGTTTGTGTTTATGCAAAGGGGCCTCTTCCTGCATATTTAATCTAGAGTAAGGCAGTGGCTTTTGTTGTGTTTAGCCCACATACCTTCAGTCCTTCCTCACACGGCCGGCAGCTTGGAGCCCTGAGAGCCCGCAGGCTTCCAAGCGCCTGTAGTTTCTCCCTCGCAAACTCTCAACTTTCTTCCGTCGTGTGAAAATTGCCTCTCCGGCCCCAAAGCTTTCCTTCCTCACCATGAGCGGGTAAGTGTGCGGGAAGCCAAGGCTGATACTTTGTTTCATTTTACAAGTGTTGAGAGGCTACTTTCCTGCTCTTCTGGGCGCCTCCTGCCAGCGCCCCGGGTCCTGGTTCCTGGGCCGTTGTCAGTTGCTGGCTGCCTTGAAATAGCGAGTACAGGTGCCTCTGAGGAACCGGGGCTGAATTTTGGGCTGGCAGAGGGAGCCTCTTGGAACTCGGGCGGGCGGGCGGGGGTGGGGGGGCTGTCGGGGGAGAAAGAGAGACAGAGAGAGAGAGGAACAGCTTTATTATTCTTTGTCCTAACAAATCCTGTTTTGTAACTCTCCTGGAGATAATGCTGCCATTGTTTGCTAAAAGCCTTCAAACAGTGTGTAAGACGGAACTGCAAGAAAGCAGTGAAACTCTGCTGCTGTATTGTCTATACCCGGGCCAGGGTCCTCCCCGAAGGTCTGTGCCGGAATAGGAAGGGTTTTCTTTAGTGGAAATCGAATCGTCTCTTCATTGATATTAATAGCACACTAGAGAGGTTGGCCATGCTGCTCAGAGAGGCGGTCGGGAGGGAAGGAAATCTGATCTTGCTTGGGGGGGGGGGGGGCGGTGGGAGATGACAGCCTCTTGGCCCCACGGTGGAGGAGACATCCATCCAGGCTCAGCTTGCATAATGGCATCCTGGCTTAACTGTTTGCTCTAGGAATTTTAATCTTGAGCTGTTTGTTTTACTATCTGGGGTCTTGCTATTTTTTTGTTCTCGTACTGTCTTTAGAAAGCACCATATTCAGGGTCTAATCCAGTCTTTTCAAAAAGTGGATTAAAAAAAAAAGACTCAGAGAAATTGATGTACTGTGCACTTGGATCATTCTGCGCTATGATGGTAGAATTCGGCTTTCTTTTAGAATGTTATAATTTCAAAACTGAATTGCCACAACGAAGAAGGGACAAGCCACCCAAGGAAGATATGTCCTATGTAAAGATATTTCAGGGACTAGGAATTGTGTCCAGAGTCTAAAAGAAGGAGTTTGCATTACCAGTTAACTGTTGCCTCTGCTTGAGTAACTCTTTTCAACAGAAGAGTGTGCTGTTCCCCCGCAGGTTGGAAACTGTGAGAATTTAAATAAAATTTCATCAACCTTATTAAAATATGTAGGGAGTTGGGTCTTCTTGGGTACAAATCAGTCTAGAGACTTAGAAGCATTTATTAACAGTGAGGCTGCTGTAGGTTTTTAATAATAAAATTACAAATACCCTATCTAATTGTAAGTATATGACTTTTATACTCGGTTTTTAAGGGGAAAAATACTTTTTTTTTTTTATGAGGAAAAGTAACTCTGTCAGAGCACCTTCTGTGATTAGCGCTATTGTATTCTTAAATTTTGATTGATAGAGATAATAGTTTTCACTTAAAAATACAGACAGGTACTTTAACTTTCCATGACAATAGCTATTTGCATTTCTTTTATCTTTTTGTTTAACATTTGTGGGGGTTGGGATGGATTTGATTATTAACTCTTATTGCACACTCAAGGTAAATCTAAAACAAAGGCTTTGTTAGAGCTTCAAAGAGAAAACAGCAAATATTGTTTTTAGGTTTCAACATTTAAAGGCTGTTAAGGGATACCTATAAAATATTTTCACATGACCATGACCAGGGTTTTACTTTTCTGTAAGGTAAGCTAGAGGAATTCCTCCAAAAGAGATGGACCAGTGTGGAGCAGCTGGGGGGGGGGGGGGGAGGGCTGACAGCCTGGAGCAGTTTCCCAGGGTGCGCCTTGCCTGGCGTTGCCTGCGCCATGTGGCTTACCTTCTAGTATTTTCGGTTTTTCTTAGGAGAATGGACCTCAGAGTTAGGTTCCACGATTTGGTGAAGAGTCCCAGAGGGTGAGGAGAAAGGAAGTAAAATGTTCCTCGCAGCCACAGGAGGGGACGTTAGGAAATGATGGTGGATTTCTTTGGTAGACAGAAGTAACAGAAGTAACAGAAACATAGTGATTGTAAGCCTGCGAGCCTGGCCGGTGTCCCAAAGGCCTGAACTCTGCAGCTGCTCCTTTTCCTTTCCATTTTCCTTCCTTCTTTTCCTCTTCCCCCTCTTCTGCGCTCCCGGTTTCTTTCCCTCTTACTTCTTTTTCTCTCTTCCTTCCTGCCCTCTTTGCTTTTTCTTTCTGTAAGCCTGACTCAATATTGAAGTTATTAGAGCAGAGAAAAAACTCTCTTGTGGTTGATTTCTGAGTGGATTTTCTTGTCTCGAGTGCAGAAAATGAAGTGACCCTCGTACTATCATTTCTCAGCTAGGCAAATTTGTGTTGATATGCTCCTGTTTTCCTAAGAAATCTTTGAAAAACGATACATGAAAATCCACATGAGTTAGGGGTCTCTAGTTAAAGAGGCAGGCGTCTCTTGGAAATTGGCCCATTTAGACCTTCTGTTTTCTTAGATGAAGTACATGTCCTTTGCTTGGAATATTTGGGGTATGAGAAGCTTGAACTTTTTTCCTGGGCTTTCAGAGAAGGTCTTCTCTAACCAGAGACAAATTACTAAATCGCCACCTTCCTCGTGGGCCAGGAGCTGACCGTGACATCCTTGCATCCCCAGTGACACCTGGGACCTAGTACCTTCTCAGCCCTCATTTGGTGGACTGAAGGTTAAGATGAATAACGTTGGTTGTCTTTCCCAGTCCCTTTTGTATGATCGTGTAAAATGAAACATAGTGCAGAAATCCTGATGTAGATCATTTCCTTCAGCTGCCATGGAAGAAAGGGGGGACATACTCTTAGTGGGAAAAGTAGAGTGTATATTGTTCAAGACTTGTTCATTTTCAGTCTTGTGAAATGAGGTCAAGTTACCTGCAACTTGGTTCTGACTATGCCATACCAGTTGGCATCATGTATTTCTCGAATAGATGAAACGAGGGGCAAAATACACCCCTACAAAGTGTGACGTTGTAGCACTATGGTAACCTAAGAGGTCCACAGACAGTGGGAAATTCTTAAGGGGTGGGGGTTGGGAAGGTAGAGGAAGAGGAGAGTTGCTGCTGAAGATCGGTGTCTTGCTCAAGGTCTTTATGGTCAACGCATAGATTCAGGTGGACGACACTCTCGCAAACAGTAGTGAGGGGGCCACACCAGGAACAGTACTCGTGTTCACGGGATCTTAACTGTACAGAGAATGACACAAAGGAAAATAAGTCATTTCTATTTACCGTATTCCTGGCTCACTTTTAAAACCTAAAACCAATAGGAAACTTCAGAAAGGGAGAGGAAGACAATGCAATTCAGATGGTAACAGCATTTTAAAAGAAGACGAGTGGGCTGGAGGGGAATATTTTTCTTTTTATATAAAAAAAAAAACGTAAAAGCTTTACATAACCATTTAATTTTAGTTTTGATGCGTGTGCGGTGAGTAAGCATTCAGGTAACTAGTTGATATATTTGATGAGTAAAAGTGATTGTTTAAAAAAAATAGCGAACTGCTTTGGAAACAGAAGTTTTACATTTTGGAAAAAAAATGAAATGCAGGTTGTTCTGCTGGTTGTTGATTTCTGATTCCTCCAGGCTCGTCATGATGCAGACTCAGGCCCCAGTACTACTCCCTAATTTTCTTGTCTGTTATATTGACACATTTCATTTAATTTAGCATGATGGCAAACAGCTGTTGAACTATTAATCTTTTTTCTGCAAAGCTAGAAAAATATCTTTTAGATTACTTGGCTAATTATACTAAAAACTAAAATCAACAGAAATAAATTAATGAGTGGTCAAATGTGCATATGCATTAAAATTTATGGAACTTCACAATGGAGAAAAACATGATTTGTATCCCACTGCCAGGTTTTTTGTGTGTGTGTGTGTGTGTTTTTTTTTGGTATAAGTAAAAATTAAAGATAGCCGATTTTGTATCGCTTTAGTAATTATAAGTTGGAAGGTCAGTTGTATAATTTTGTTTCCCTAGGGGAAAATTATACTTGTAAAAATGTGAGGGTAAATCAGCATGTATTTTTGTTCTGTTCACTTACACACTGTACTGTGTAGACAGGTGCATAGAGAAATAGGCCCCATTCTTCCCTGAAATCCTTCTACGGGTTTGAATACATGGCTAGAGATAACTTTATTCAAAGTAGGCATTTTCAGCAGGTTTTTTTTTTTAAATTAAATTTTAATAAGGTCCAGTTGTTTGCCAGGCCTATAGGATAGCAATCTCATCTGCAATGCAAAGTCTAATACTATAGATCTGACTGCCAAACATGCAAAAATAAATGCAACTCAATAGGTGAACATGAACATTAGTTTAGAGCACACACATTGGAGAATATCTCAAGTGAAAAAGGAGGGAGAATGGCCGTTCTTGCCTTGACTTCAGTAGGATCTGCCAGAGTTCACTTCCTTTCCATTTAAGATTGCATGTGTGGTGAGATGGAAATTTCTCATGTATACGATTATTGCTGTGCCTTGTATCTAATGAGCTCTTGGGCTGCTTTGCAGATCTCCCCATTACCCTGAGGACCCCAACATCATTGCTCCCTGTTTTCGTAGCACCATTTGCCCTATGACAGAATTCTCACCGGTAGAGAAACCAATCCTGGGGACATACATCAGCAATGTGTCTCAAAATTTTCATTTTCAATTTGAATTGTTTTGTGTAAAAACAAAAAGGTTTGGGGCAGGTTGCAAAATAGTAATTTTAAGTCCCAGAGCGAGGGTTTTCCCCCACCCAAATGGTGAACATTTATGGTGAAAACCTCCAATTTCCTCTTACAGTAAACATGAAAATTATGATTTCACTCAGAGCCTGCATTTTTTTTCCAATCTTTATGGCAAGAATCTGCATATACTTGCTTGTGGAAATGTCATAAATTGGCCTCAGATCAATTCCTCAAAGATAGTACTCACCAAAGTGCCACTTTCAAATTTTAGCCCTTGTGAAATAAGATTTAACTCTTCTCAATAATGTTTGCCTTTCCACATTCAGGGCTGACAGCAGAGGGATAAGCAGGGATATATTCTGTATAAAATTAAAACCACTTCATTACATATTGTTCTGAAGAGTGAGCAAAAGGATATTAACATTTTAGTAAAATGACGATACGATCTTAGCATCTTACAAAAAAATTACATGAGCATTTGGTCAGCTGATGTGGAATGAATCCGTACCCTGTCGGTAACTTGATCTAAATTAATAAACAAATGTTTTTCTTTTCACTTGTGCCATATGTTGATCCCAGTTACATGGGCAGAAAGAGGCAGCTTGTAATGTTTCTTAGAGGATTACACACTGTTTTGCATAAGAGAGTATGCAGATGCAGGAGTAGATGTGGGATAAAACATGTTCCAGGCTTTCTTTGTGTTTTAGGGAGGTCGGTTTCAATTGTTTATTTCATCTGACACAAACCATTTTTATTTAACTTGGTAGATTTGGTAGATAAATGCTAAGTGGAAAACATAGTGTGAACAGCTTTCACCAACTGATTAACCCCCTACCCCTCCCCAGACTTGAAGATCTTGGTGCTTGTATTCATTTTGAAAGGTTCCAGGGTGGCATAAAGCATCTTGTCTATAAGAACTCACTCTCTTACTAAGGCTGGGGGGGGGGGGTGCGGGGACAAGCCTGTGCTTTAATGAAATCAGAGATGTTGTGGATGTTAACCAAACAGACACGTTCAAGGAGCAGTCTGGTTTCCAAAAACAAAGGCCTATGAGTCACGTATTATTGCACCAGAAAATAAATTGATAGATGACAAGATGAGAAAAAGTTCATATGCAAAATTTGAAATGTTTCACCTTTACTTTTTCCACCCACATTGTTTTTGTTGTCTTGAGGAGCTCACAGGCCTGTGCGCCAGATCAGTGGTCTTGGGACTTGTTTTTATTATTAACTCTGAAAGTCATTTGCCATGCAATGTAACTGAGTTCTTTTGTTGTTCTTGAATCTACCCAGGCAGATGGGTGGTTGCTACTGTCTCTTGACATTCGGATTTTGACGTTCTCTTTTGTTTTCAGGGTAAGAAGTGACCTTTTGAGGTGACTATACCTGAAGATTGCTTTCCAGAAGCCAAAAAGGTAAATGCAAATATGATTAGTGGAATTATGTCTTGGCCCATATCTCCCTCCTTCTAGGTATATCTTAATTGAACTCTTTTCCGGTCTGTGTAGCTACCAAATATGTGTGTGTGCATTTGTGTGTAAGTCTGTATGTAGTAGCGTCTTTTGGGAGATCTTTCAAGAAAAGATTGCCCTTAAGAAATGGTCCGCAGAGTCTCTTTCCCCCCAAAATGTTATCAAACTTTATCTTCTTTGTTGAAGCTGAACTTTTTTTTTTTTTGGCTGTTGACTTGGTGGGCTTAAAGTTAGAAAGGAATATTCACATCACAAAAGTGGTGATTCATAAAAATGAACTTGCTGCAAACATGAGTAGCACATGTCAGTGTTTGGTGCCGAAGTGGTGTCATCCGATTGATGTTCATCTGGCGGCTTTATAATCACCTTCTTTCAGAAATTAATAGTCAAGCACCATAGCAACCCAGCACATTGATGTAACTGCTGAGCGGCGTGGGGCATATCCCTGTGATGTCAGCGCTAGGCTGCCTTGTTGTCTTGACCTTGCTTGAAAATCAAATGAGTATTTGATTTTAAAATCAGAAGTTTTCAGAGAGACTAATGTAGCTTGATGAATTAAAGCTAAATTGAATTTTCTCAAACTCACTTTTGGGAGGGGGGACAAAAAAAGCACTCTGTTTAAAATGGTTATAGGTGCTCCGTATTTTCTTGATTTCCAAATTTCTGGTGTGGCTGTGGTCATCTGACACAAGTTAATCTTGCAGGTCATTTTCATGGCTGAGGTTTCTCAAGTAGCATCTTCATTTTATTTTTGAATTTTGGCCAGTAACAGCTCCATTTGCTTTAGTGGATTTGTGTCTGTTTTAAAACAGGTTCCTTGCTGACCTGGTTGTGCCACGTCTCCACTCAGATGTTACTAAATTGAGTTTATGAATTTGTAAGACAGAGACTTCCTACTCTTTAGTTGAACATGTTTTGGGGTTTTTTTGAAACTTTATAATGTGAAGATTCTTAGATCACTTTTGTTTTTAATCTTACCAAGCATTCTGGGACTCTAGGACGCCTTTTAAAGGTATGGATTTGTTTTTAGAGTTGCATTCTGGCACATTTGATTGGAGGCAAAAAATGCAACTTGCTGCATTTCACCATCATTGGTGTTTAAATGAGACCTTTGTGGGAAGCACCTGATTGGCCCCCACGGAGGACAGTCTCCTTTGTACACTGCGGCATGGAAAGGGTGGATCCCAGCTAGTATTTCGGGTTATCAAGTCAAAGCACTTCCCTTTGCTGAGACTCAAGTTGTCCAGTCTTAAAAAGGAAGCTTAGTTAACTTCGGGGATCTGCAGACTTTTTGCGTAAAGGGCCATGCAGGAAATATTTTCTGTTTTGTGGGTCATTCCCTCTGTGCCACAGCGACTCAGCTCGGCTGTACGTTGTGTCTCCTGGTCTCCGTGAGCCCTGCGAGATCTCAGTCCAAGACGTTCCTCATGCAAAGCTGTGCCAGGTGTTTAACTCATCTCGTGCCATTAGCTAGCAAAGACTTCTAGCAGAGCTCAACACTGTGATTAAGCAAAGCTGAAAGCATGGCTGAAAAGATGAAATATTCACCTTGAGAGTTGTGTTACCCCGACAGCTTCAAATAAGGGCATCCTGGGCAGTTTTCATTGTTTTCTTTGGAGTCACCTGTAAGCATGAATTATTTTTCTTCTGACTTGATGTCTTTATAATGCCTACGCTAACACCCATGACTTGAAAATGGGCACGCTTGAATGGATGCGATGTGATTTGTTTCCAATTCTGTGATACTGTTCAAAGTTTAAAATATTGTGAGACAGGGGCAAGTTTGGGGGAAAAAAAAGAAAGAAGTTCCAGGAAATTTTCATTAGTGTTGACTAAAGAGAGGTAGCCCATGGGAAGAGAAAAAATTCTCTCTTTATAATTAATGTCAAGGACACGGTGTATTATATGGTACGATATACTGCAAATGAGCAACTCCTTGTCAAATTTCAGGAACAGTGAAAAATTTTGTCCTTCTGATGGCTCCTGTCATGACACAAAGGAAGCTGAGTAACAAATTCATATAATTTTTCTTTTAAACTTGACTGCTAGGAATCTCGGAGGAAGTTTGTGTTCAATCTCTGTATGGTTTTTTCCTACTCCAACTTATTGTGATTGAGATCTTTTTAATAAACTTCATTTTTTCTACCCCCAATTAACATTGGGTTATTCTTATTCTTCTACAATATCAATTCCATCTTGCTTAACCCTCATTTCAAATTTTATTTTATTTTTTTAGAAATTAGTGAAGGTATAGAGATTTAAATGATAAATCACATTTTTTTTTTTTTACCTTTTAACAAGCTCAAAGAGCCTTCAAAAACTAATCCTTATTTATTTTGATCTCTTATATATAAAGGAAAAAAAGGTTTGTTAAAAATGTAAAAAAAAAAAAGTCTGTAAAATGTCTGGAATGGCAACTGTTTCTTCCCTGGAAATAAGCCTTAAACAGAGAAGACCGCAGGGCGCCTGGGTGGCTCCTTCAGTTAAGCGTCCCACTCTTGATTTCAGCTCATGTCATGATCTCAGGGTTGTGGGATCGAGCGCACACAGTCTGCTTAGGATTCTCTCTCTCTCTCTGCCCCTCCATCCCCCTTGTACGTGTGCATGCGTGGGCACGCTGTCTCTCAAAAGCGAACAAAAACCTGAGACGATCATGCTATCCAGTGATGACAGAGAAGCCAGCACCATCTCCGCACCATCAAGAAGAGGTAGATTTCAGGTCCCGGGTGCTTCTCAGTAAATGGCATGCCACATTTGAAATCTGGGAATCATTAAAAGCATAGATGCAAGTAAATATGTCTACATTGGCACTTCGGGAAAAACTACTTATGTGCATAAAAGCGGCCAGGCAAATTCAGAAAAACAGATGAAGCCATTTTTCAAATTTAGATTCAAAGGTCTGAAGAGTCATAAATAACAGCCCTCTTACTTGATAGCAATAAAACAATTTTTTTTCCAAGTAGATCTGAACACTTTACAAAATGGGTTTGGTGCTAGCATTCTGGAGTAATAGGCAGCCATGATTATAATCCCCACTTTACAGACTGGGAAGGTGGTTCCATAGACGATCAGTAACTTACTGATGGTCACGTAGAATGTCAAGACTGGATCTAAAAAGACATCTTGTTCAGGTCACAGTTATACTAATGTCATTTTATCATGGCCGCCTTAGTTTGGTGATTTAATACAGGTTTATACATCATTTTCTCTCTGCTTTCCCTCAACATTGGCATTGTACCTACATGCATTTTTGCTTGAGATTCAAATTCAATTTGTAAAATTCATATTCTTGTATCAGTTCTGAGTGGTATTGGGAGTAGATGGTAATCTTCAAGCCCATATAGATTATGATTAAATGGTTATTTTTAAACGTTTTAGGCATCTTCAAGTTTCACATCTTATGTGCTCGTTAATTTTTTTTAAAATTTCTTTTGTATGGTCAACTTATTTGTGAGAAAGTTAAGAAACAATCTAAAAGTATAATCGTAGTATTCTCCTACCCCCAATTTGAGCCCTTTTTTGTTGGATCAAGGAGTATAAAGCATCCTTATAGACTATTCATTGTGTCTCGCATATTGCAGATTATATCTTGGTTACAAATAAAGGTAAAATGGCTATTTGGCTATTTAAAATATATCCATTGGCTCTTCTGAAAGTGTGTATTTATTTGATTTAAATATTTAATGCCAATAACATTCAAAGTTAAGTCCATTTCAAAATGACCTCTTTATAGCATTCCACATTTGAATCATGTGACTTAATTTATCAAGTTGTTGTGTAGACATAACAGTGTCTTCACTGAGCCACCAGATAACCACCCTAGCTGATTCACTAGTCTGTTCAGTTAAGCACTGGAGTCCTTTTCACTCCCTCCTTCTCCCCATACACCCATGCCCGGGCTTAACAATCAGGGTAAAGACTAGGCTGGTATTAGCATAGAGACCTCAACATACAATGGCTTACATAAAAGGGAAGCTTACTTCTCTCTTATGTAACAGTCTGACCAGTGTAGCTTACCTGGGCAGGTTCTTTCTCTCTTTTGCTCTCCTACCTTAGGACTTTGTCATTATTCACATCATTGAAGCATAGTGGAGAAGTCCACGGCAAGCAGTTTTCTTTGATTCAAATGAGTTAAAAATTGCACATATCTCATCCATTGACTGTTAATTGGTAAGATTATGGTCTCCTGGTTGCAAGAAGCTGCAGTGGCTGCTGGGAAATGTGTCTGCCAGGGTGGCCAGGAGCATGGGAGAATTGGAGAACAGGTTTAAGGGGACAATTCAAACACAACAACTTGATTGGTTGAATTGCCCCAATACGATGATTTCTCTTTCTTTCTCTCTTTCTTTCTTTCTTTCTTTCTTTCTTTCTTTCTTTCTTTCTTTCTTTCTTTCTTTTTCTCTTTCCTTTCTTTCTTTCTTTCTTTCATTCTGTCATTCATTCATACAAGAGTACACACTGCATACATATATAAATTCCTACTGTAGATATTTACTGATGATTGTGTGCTAGTTGCCAAGATCATAGCACTGCATAAGAAGGACATGGTCTCTGTCCTCATAGAGTTTATTTTAGAGAGCGGAAGACCCAGATTATGAACGATGATGATGACTAGTGTTAGGAAGGGCAAATATTGGTTGCTGGGAGAAAGTGATCTATAGTGGGGAGACCAGGGTATCAGGGATTTTTGTATTTTAGCCTTGTATGGAAGCAGTGTTAGCTTAACTTGATTTTCTTGTATCTTTCATGCCAATGCTGTTATGAACATTATCAGGCATGTTAATTTTGTTAATAGCTTTATTGAGATATAATTCATATCACAATACAATTCACCCACTTAAAGTGTACCGTTCGATGGCCTTGAGTATATTGCCAGAGTTTGTAACTATCATCCCAGTCTGGTTTCAGAACATTTTCAGCACCCCAGAAAGAGACCCCATAAC